CTCTGCTCGGTGGGGCGGCCCTGGGGGCTGCCTGCTGCCCCCTGCCGTTCTGCCCATCTCTGTTGCCTGCATTAGCACTTGCTGCCCCCCTGCATACCTGCAGCCTGTTCTGCAGAATCCCTGGGGCGTCCTTGGGGAACACAGCCCTCTGCTCCGGCTGCCATAACAAAGCACCGCAGCCTGGGTTGAAACACAGACATTAACGTCCTCCTGACCTGGAGGCTGACGTCAGACCAGGGCATCGCCTGGCTCTCCCTGAGGCCTAGTTCTTGGTGCTGAGTGCCCTCTTCTCACTGTCCTCACGCAGTCTCCCCATGTGTGTGCATCCCTGGTGTCCCTCTGTGGGTCCATTTTCTTCCTCTGAGGACACCTGTCGCATTGGCCATGGGAATCCCTACTCAGACGGCCTCATTGGCACTTGTGCACTCTTTACAGGCCCATCTCCAAATATGGTCACATTCAGAGGTACAAGAGGTCAGGGCTCCCACGTATGGCTTTGGATGAGGGCACAATTCACTTACAACAAATGATCTCATCATATGTTGACCCCAAATGCTGTCTATGGGTCAAAGGAATCGATTCTTCTTGTCTGAGACCCAGATTCCTGGGTTCCCAATGCTGTCTGGACACCTTTCTGGCAGTCTTTGTGCTCGGCCGGGGCTCAACAGATGCTTCATGAGCTTGCAAACTTGCTTTGCCCTGACAGGTTGGACCTCCCACCCTTGCCCCACGTCCAATGGTCCTCAGCCTCCTTGCAGACCAACAGTGGTGTCCTCACGTGCTCCTGTGTGGCTGGCTCTGGCACTGGTATGCAGGGCAGCTGTTCTGGGCCTGATTGTCCAGGAGGGCTTCAGGGTACCAACTCTACCCGTGACCCCGGGCCCCTTCTGAGATTGCGTCTGACCTGCAGGCCTGGCTAGGCTCAGCATGGAGTCCCTGAGTAACTCTGAGACCTCCAGCTCACCTTTCCCTTGGCAGGAGTGGGCTCATTGCCTTCCACCCTGGCTGGGCCTCCCTTTCGTGGCCTCCGCCCTCAGGTCTGGAGCTCTGGGCCCAGGCTTCACTAATTCTCCTGCCTTCAGGTCCCGTCGCAGGCAGCTCCACAAAGCAGAGAAGGCCACAGGCTCCCCCATCTCGTGGCACTCACGGCCTACACTCCTGTTTGCGTTCTTAAAAAAGGCCCCACACCCTGGCTTCCTTTTTCTCACCATCTGGAAGCCAGGAGTTCAAGATCAGGGTGCTGGCCGATTTGGTTTCAGCTGAGAGCTGGCTTCCTGGCCTGCAGATGGTCACTTTTTCTCTCTGTCCTCCATGGCTTCTCTTATATACGTGGGAAGAGATAGAGAGGGGGAGAGAGAGACAGAGAGAGATGGAGTGAGAGCGAGAGGTCCTCTCCGGTGTCTCTTCCTCTTCGTATAAAGTCACAGTCCTCTCCTCAAGCCCCCATTGAACCTCAGGGACCTCCCTAGAGGCCTTGCCTCCAGGCACAGTCACACTGGATGTTTAGGGTTTCAACATATGAATTTTGGGTAACGCCATTCAGTCCATACCAAAGGCATCCAGGACCCAGGGCCTGTGGAGGGGGTGCCCGGGATGGTGCACTGGGCTAGGAGAAGGGGGGCAGCTTTCTAGGACCAGGTCTGCCACTTCTCAGCTGGGTGCCCTGTGCCAAGTCCACTAACCTGTCTGACCTGCCAAAAGGTGCCCCCCTTATCCCACAGGGCTGGGTTGATGGTGGCAGAGCCTGGGCTTACGGGGAGAGGTGGGGTGCCCTACCCAAGGGAAGAACTGTTACGCATCCCACATCATCTTTGGAAGTGAGGTTCGATGACGACAATGTGGGAACAGGGTGAAATCACCAGGAAAACAGACCGATTGCCACAATAACATTTCTTTCAAAAAAAACTTCGTCCCTAGAGGCAGGCCTGGCTGCTGACATTCGAACACCTTCACATTTCCAATGAATACGTTTCTTTTTTCCTTGACTAGAAGCTTAATATCCCCCTCTAATGAATTCCAGATGGGAGCTCTGAAATACCGGGGCTGTGAACCTGCCCTGACACGTTTGTCGGCCTCGCTGGGCTCACAAGGTGCATGTGCTGACATTTCTGCAAGCTGAACGGGATAAAAACCCAGGTTTTAACCAGTGGAAGAAAATCATACGCTTCAGTAATAGACGTCACTGACATTTTTGGGTCTCGACGTGATTTAGCAAGTCTTCCAGCAGAAATGAAAGGCCTCTGAGAATCAACCTGTCCCAAGCGCTATGCCGTGTCCTGGGCTTGTTGGTTTGTTCTCGGAATAATCTCAGATGACCTAAAGTCTCCTTCCCTCGTCAAGTCCTAGGAGAACATGTCGGGTCTGCCTGCATTGTGTGACTGTCATGCTGGAACACATTTTATGTTTTGTTATAATAAAACCACCCCATCACCCAGAGTCATGGCACTGGCCCAGCAATAGATGACCTGACCGATGCTGATCACAAGGGGGTTCAGATGCCTGGTGGCCACCCACTGTTCCAGCAGAGATCCCAGGCCAGGGGGGTAAGGTCTGCATCCCCCAGTCCTGCTCTGTTTTCAGGCACGTCCCACAGGGGCCAGTCTCAGTTTTCTCATCTGTAAAGAAGGCAGATTAAGTCAGTGGTGCTAATGCAACATTTTTGAGTTATGTACCCTTTCGTTCAGGTGAAATGAAACACAGACAAAAATAGAAAATTGGAGCTGCTCTGGGTAAGGTGGAAGTCAGGAGGATAAGGCTTCCCTCCTCCCCACCTCTACCAGGCAGCCCCCAGGGACTGCTAGAGAACCTGGTGCAAAATCCATGGAACCCCCTCCTGTCTAAGACCGTGTCAGGCTATCAGCCTCTGTACTTGTGCTTTTAACATCCACTGATCAAGGGGTTCCCTTCTGCCTATGTTTTATCATGAAAAATCACCCAGTGACCCCCCCATTAATTTTATTTCAACATATGAATGAATAATAAACAATTGTATCTCCATACTGCTTATTTGAATTGCTTCTTTGATTGAAATACTAGTGCAGGTGGTGGTAGAAGAGTCCACAGCATGTGGTAGACTGCATCTCCCTAAAATATTTGCAGTGATGTCTTCTGACCTGCACTCCTTCACAGTATGAATCTGTCACTCCCTTGGTGTGACACGGGGTTCTCGTCCCATCAGCGACGTATCTGTGGGAAGCCCTTTTTATCTTTTTTACCTTTGGTGACACAAACAGTATTTTCCAGCTCAGCTACAGAATTTCTCTCCAATTTTGAAAGAGAATTCAATGAGAAATCTTAAGGATACAGGGGGATGAAGTCCATGGGTTCAAACTGCTACCTTCAAGGGCCAGACCCAGAGCCACATTATAATAATCCCTTTCTTAGCTCACCGGACTTATTCACTTTCTCATTTCTGCTTGGTATTTTTTTTTTAAACTAGTAATCGTGTATATTTGTAATGTACTTTAGATTTGTTGCAGAAAGAGATGGGAAAGTAAGCCAAATGATAAATAACTAAACCATTTGTTCCCCATTTGTTTGTGTCGAGCTAGATTCAAATAAAACACAGCTGTTAGATGACAGCTCCTTAGTAAGATATCACTAAACAAGAGAAGACGAGTCCCGAACGCAGGTGGGAAGGACGTGTGATCCCAGGCCGTGGAGCTGGAATTCTGAGATGTGGGAGAAGGTACTGGGCCTGCTCCAGCAGGTGCCTCAAGACAACAGCCCGAACTCGTGGGGTTCCCGGGGGGTGTGACGGGGCTTGCCAGTCATCGTCCACCTTGCAAGACTGTGTCCCTGTGATCTCTCATAGCACCGTGCCCGGGTGGGGTTTGGCGGCGGGGGCCTGTCTTGCTAATGGGTTTGAGCCCCGGGCAAGTTCACTATGGATTCAAAGTGACCAAAGAAATCGACAGCAAAATGTTCTTGGGGTGAAAGGGTTATACCCAGCTTTATTTCCAGGTGGCAGGTCAGTCACTAAAATCCCGTTCATTCAGAGCACGTCTGCATGCAGCAAGCTGGTCTCTCCCCTGGCCTCTGGGCCCCTCTGCCTGCACAGTTGTCCCACACAGCCGTCCTCTAGGCCTCTGTCCTCAGCACTGCCACCACCCCAGCCTCTGCCCTGCTCTCCTGCAGCCTTGCAGCCCTGCCACCGTGTCATGCCCAGAGCACTGGGTGGAGCTCTTTATATAGAGTCAACAGTCAACAGCCACGTATTGCCCACAGGTGTGCAGTGAGCTAGTCAACCAGGGCCAGGTGAGAATCCTGGCCACAGGAACTCTCATTTTATCTACAGTGCTCTCAGCATCGGAGCGTGAGTTTCTAAGTTCTTTTCTTTACAGTCAAGTGGGCTGGATTTTCTTTCTGATGTGATGTGGGGTGAATTAGAAAGAGATGGTGGTGTGTGACTGGCTGATGAAAGTGAAGACTTACACAGCCTTTATTCACACTTCCTTAGGCACTCTTCCTCAAGGGTCGTGTACTATGTCCCTAGACCACCACGAAGGAACGGGCACCCGGCCCTGCACCACAATGGCGCCACCTGTTGAGCCCACAAAGCGGGTCGAGTACAGGTGGCTGGATTCCATTGTCCACGACGCATGTCCAGGCTGTTCAGGAATTTGGGAGTTAGTCATATGCATTTATTTTAGAAATTAGTGCCCAGGGCCAGACCACATTTTTGCAAACAGAACATACTCAAAGGGTAAGCAAGTGGAATCCACTGACCACCTATGATGTTAAGGGACAGATTTAGGAAGATGAGGTCAGGCGGCTCCATGCAGGTCACCGTGATAAAAGCTGTGGCAGCTGCAATAGTGCATGGGAAGGGAAGCTCCACAGAGCGTCAGTTGTGACAGCAAAGAAACCAGAAGGAAAGCCATACTTCAGGCACAGAGTGACCAAGACAGCTGCAGCCGGAGAGCCTCAGCGGGGGAGAGAGTGGGAGCAACCAGCCCGTGGAGCGTGGACCTCCCAGGCCGGGTGCTTTCAGTCCTGGGGCGGGCATCGGGGTTTTCAGAAATCCTCATGTGTTCTGGCTCCCCAAATTCTTTCTTAGAATAATGTCAAGTTGACAGTGAGCCTTTGGGCCCTGGACTTGGGTCAGGCACGTGGGGTGCACACGGATGTTTAGTGATTCCTGTCAGTCCTTGGAAAGTGATCCTGGCTCCTGCTTCGGTCTCGTGATGTAAGCTCAGTGGAATTACAATTCCACAGCTCAAAATTACATAACTAATTACCTTCAGCTTCAGTAACAATGACTAATCAGCCTGAACCTGTCTAGCCTGCTCCTCGTGGTAGACGGCTTGAGCGAACTAATTATGTCTGAAGTTGTTTTGTTAACAATCTCAGGGGAGCTGTGCCCTGGGAGAGCCTGCGTGCTCAGACCCAGCAGGGTATCAGGAGGGACGGGGAGGTGGGGGGTGCTGCCCCAGGAGGCCACCATGTTAGATAAGGTCCTAAGAGGTTGGCTCTTTCTCTTGGGCCAAGCAGGGGGCCCGAAGCCAGCTGAGTGGAAATACCTTAGGTCAGGAGTGATGGTGTGGCCTCTCTAACACCTTTGGTGGGGGTGGCAGGAGGGGCTTATCTGCCCTGGTGCTCTCCCCGCCTGAGTCCCTCAAGCATGGCTTGAAATCCTTTCTACTGCCTGCACATAAGCGCTGTGCTCAGCGGGGTGGCCCTGAGGGGGAACCTCATGGCCGCCTAGGCTCTCGGGGTCAGGCACTGAAGAAGCCTGAGGTTTCGGGATGTCTCCCCTTGGGTCAAATGCAGGGGTAGGGGCTGGGGACCAGACAGCTTGGCCATTGCCTGCTGAGCATGCTGGAGTCTAGTCCTGGAAACACACGGGGCTGAGCTCTGCTGCCGGACTGTGGTGTGCCCATGCTGCGGCCCCCCTGCACCGGGCCTCCAGGGCCCTGAGGGCAGGGGCCGTGCCCTGTGGCCTCCCCACCAGCCATTGCAGGTTCACATGGTGCTGGGCTCTCAGGACATGCATGTCAAGGGAAGGGAGTGGAAAAGGGTGCCCAGCAGAGGTGAGGTGACCAGTTTACTCAGTGGAAACTACAAATGATATTTATTTGCTAAAGTTCAAGTTTTCTTTTAAATCCTTTTAAATGATAGTTTGGGATAATGATTGGTTTTTGCTACGAAACCTAAGACATCATGTCCCTCCTTGCCCATGGCACAGTGGGATTGAAGGAAATGCAGCCCCATGTGTACCCATGGTCTAAGGTTCCCCACAGGCCTTCCCTGAGCTAAGGTCACCAAGGCGTGGGGTGGGGTGGGGGGCAGCTCTCCCTGCAGGGGCCGCGGGATCCTGGGCAGGCATCAGGCAGCGCCAGGCTGAGATGAATCCCAAGAAGAGCTTCCTATGGCCTGCTGCCTTCTCCCCAGGACGCAGAGCTCCCCCTGTACCGTGGGGTGCATGGGAGCAGGTAGCGGTGAGCAAGCTGAGCTGGGGTGGAGGAGGGATGTGAGGTCCTGGGGGACACGCTTCCAGCACTGGGTGGGGTGCTTGTTCCCCCCTCAGACTGCTCACCAAGCCCTTCTCCAGGATGGTCCCCCACGTACGGGGCAGGGCTGGGTTTGCCCACGGGCACGCAGGGGCTCTGTGGGGCTGGGAACAGCCTGCTGGTCCGGCTGCAGGAGCTGCTCTTGCCCTGCCCCTGGTGCCTCCTGCTTAGCCCTGGAGCCCATCAAGCCAGGGCAGAGGTCACTGGACACCTGCAGGGTCCCTGTCCCCACCTGTGACTGCCGTCCTTGTCCACTCCTGACTGCAGGGCCCCACCCGCCAGGTGTGTTTGCCCCCCGGGAGTCTCTCCAAGGTCAGTGTTGGTCACACGGCCTGCCCAGGGTGCAGTGTGCATGGCACAGGAAGGGGTGCTCTTAGCAACCTACCTTTATCCCAACTAAAAAATCCTTCTTTTAAAGAAGAGAATCTTATTTTGACTACTTATAACTTGTTTTACTTAAAATAGGTTTTGTGTGTGGAGGTGGTGTGTGCAGGGGTCTATTGGGGGGTGGCAGGGACACACCACCCCATGTAACCTGCACATGCTGACCACTGGCGCCTCTAGGTCTCTGTCCACAGACCTATGCACTGTCTGGGCCAGCAGAGCGGGGCCCACTCCCTTGCAGGTCCTTCTAAAAGCCCAACAGGATCCTCAGGGCGTACAGTGAAAGCTCTGGGTCTGGTTGGGACTGGTTTCCATGTAGGCACTCTCCCCCATCCCACAATCACCTTTACATGGTGGCTTCAGCTCTACACAAAGCATAATGTTATGAACCAGCCAGATTTGGAGCATCTGCATGTTTCTGTAAGGCTGCTGTCCCCCAGTTCTAGCAGTCCTTCACGCTCTCCAGTGTCCACCCCGTGAAGGTGCGGAGCACGTTCTTTCTGCAGCTGCTCGTGGGAGTGCACTGCCCCGGCTCCCTCCCTGTGCCGATGATGCTGGGGTTCTTGTTCCTGGAGTCGAAGAATGAACTTCGCAAACACTCAAGGTAGGAGAGACAGGCAGAGGCTTTTATTTAGAGGGAAAGTGAGGGGACAGAGCTCCTGGGTCAAGCCAGGAAGGGACAAGAGAGTCCCGGGGTGGTGGGTTGTCTAGGGGTTTTATGGGCAGTTGAGAGGGGAAGGGCTAGGGATGCACACCTGCTAAGTGGTCCCCAAATGTTTATCTTTGAAGATACATTAAATTTCTTATTAGTCTTCCTGGTTATTTACAAGAATTTTATTGCTCTGATTTCCTCCCAGGATAGCAGCTTCCTGGTCTGGGAGCCTGTCACTCGAGACTGCCTGCTTTGCTCCCAAGGTGGGCTCAGTTATTGTCTGTTAACGAGTATGTTAAGAAAGTTACTTTTTAACAAATTGGGTTTTAAAATGCAATCTAATTTTCAAGATGGCATCCCATCTGTGTTTACTAGGTTGTTTTGGGCTTGCTTGCTACACTGCCCAGGTTGCAAATCATTTGTGTAGGGCTGGAGGAAGAAAAGCAGCACCTGGCTGCTTAAAGTCAGAAAAACAAGCTGGGCCCCCCAGCAGGCTAAAGCAGATCCTGCAAAGGATCATCGTACTTTGTTTTGTCCAGAGGCCCTCACCCTTGCTCTGTCCAAGCCCAGGGCCCCTGTCTCACCGAGACAGCAGGGCTGTGTGATCACCACATCCTCTCTGTTGCAGATGCAGGAAGGCTCGGAGCTGAGTCCAGTGCTGTGACTGGAGGGCGTTCATCCTAGCTTAGGGGTTCTCGTAGAAATATTCGCCTCCCACACCTTATTCTCGGACTCTTGTCTTTTTATTCATGCTTCAGTGGTTTTTGGATTTATTGTGTCTTGGTGTAAATTGCCCCAAACATCCTCTGGAACTCAACCACTTCTCCATCAGCTGTGTGGGCTGCCTGCTGGCAGAGCCTTGACTGTCAGAAGGAAAGACGAGGCCAGCACCCAGGAAGGGCACTCAGGGTGTGCCCTGGGCTCACCCTACTGTGCCGCAGGCCTCAGGGTCCTCATCTGGGAGAAGGCAATGATCACAGTGCCCTTTCCAAGGCCTAGTGCATATGGGAGGTAAGAATTTTGAATTGCGGAGCCTGGGCACCCCACAGACTAAAAATAGATGTTTTATGTCCTTCCTCTGAGTGGCCTTGGGTTGGTCTGATTGGGGCTGGTCCCCTGGGTGTGTGACTGGCCTGTGCTCAGAAGTGCCCTGCATTTGGGTTTAATGCTCTGAGGTAGCCATCTTGAAATTCTTAATCATTTATCTTTGAATTTGTGTTTTACAAGTGAAGTCTGAGGGCGCAATGTAGCGTGTACCCCCTGCTACCTCCCTGAAGCCCCCTGTCCCCACCCATCCTGCTCAGGCGGAGCCTCCACCCCCAGCAGAGGCCTGGAGGGCGCGGGGTGGGGATGGAACCTGTGAAGGTGTCCAGATACCCCGCAAACATCCCTGTGCCCAAGCAAGAGTGACATAAACAGCAAATAAAGAGCAATGTGGCGGGGGCGGGTGGTGGCAGCCACAGAGCAGAGACGGCTCCCCGGCCAGGAGGGCCGGCGCCTTCCTTCTGTGCTGGGTCTGCCAGTGGCGTAGCTCTGTGTCTTCCTGCCTCTCCTGAGGGTGGGTGTCAGTCTTGTGAGCAGGGGATCTTGTGTGACCAGGTTCCTGGCTTCAGCGCCTGATGGGGGAAGAAGGAGGAGACGAAGGAGGGAAGGGTGGTCGCTCCGCTCCTAGGGCCGCTTCACACACACAGCAGAAGGTGTTCTCTCACACTTCTGGGGGCCGCAGACCTGCAATCACGGAGGCACAGGGCCACCTGCCCCGGGACCCTGTGGGGAGAAGCCCTTCCCTGCTCTTCCAGCTTCTGGGGGTGGCGGCCAGTCCTTCCTGGCCCTTGGCTGGCAGCTGCAGTGCTTCTGTCTCTGGCTCCAGCACCACCTGGCGTCCCCCTGGTGTGTCCTCCTCCTTTAATCAGGAGGCCGCTTGTCTTGGTTCGGCTGCTGTAACAAAGTGACACAGACCGGGGTGCGGGTGGGGGGCTGATGGGGAACACACACTCTGCGGGCCGGGGTCTGGGGGCACCTGCCTCCAGGCTGCGGACGGCCAGCTTTCCCTCGTGTCCTCACATGGCAGAAAGCGAGCTGCCTAGCTCTCTGGCCCTTATACGGAGGGCACTGACCCCCTTCACGGGGCTCCACCCTCATGACTGAATCACCTCCCCCAAAGGCCCTGCCCGCACACACTGTCACACGGGAATGAGGGTTTCAATGGGTGAATTTTCGGGAGGGGGGACACAATCTTTCAGTCCACAATGGAAACCACATCGGATTTACAGCCCACCCTCATCCAGTATGGCCGCAATTTAACTTGACTGTGTCTGCACAGGCTATTTGCAAATAAGGTCACATTTGCAGGTTCTGAGTGGACATGAATTTTTGGAGGACACTGTTCAGCCCGGTATGGATGGACCTGGCAGTTCCTCACTGAAAGGCTCCCCCTCGGAGCCTGGCACACGGGGGTTGGTGCTCAGAAATGCCCCTTTGCTTCCCTGCTGCACCACTAAGCACATCACCTGATGGGACACAGAGAGGCAGGCTCACTGTGGGGCCCTGGCATTGAGGGGAGCTGCCAGTCACTCAGGATGCAGCATGTGGACCTGAGAAGGTCCAGCAGGGAACTGGGCAACGCTTGGGGGTGGGCAGGAACCGCAAGAGAGACCCATGCTTGCCACATTTGCATGCATTTCATTCGTTCTTGCATCCATTTGACAAATATTCACTGAATGCCTACTACACCCAGGCACTGTGCCAGCTGCTGGGACGCAAAATGAATATGACAAAGCGAGAAGTGCCCTGCAGAGACGGAGTGACACAAACTCTGCCTGGAAGACGGGTGACAGCTTCAGCGGTGTCTCCGTGGGGCTGCTTGTGGAGGAGGGGGAGGCAGGCCTGGCGGATGGCTAAGTGGTCAGGGAGAGGGCATTCCACAAGGCCACCATGTTGGCCACATCATGGTTTGGGGGACCTTGGAGTGTGTGACATGTGGTTCCGTGTGTGGCTCATGACTGAACAATGGGAGGGCATCAGGGCAAGTTACTGGGAGGCCACTCGCAGCAGGTGGGGTGACAGTAGTGGCAGGTTAATGAAGACATCAGGGAAGAGCCTTCAGTGATAGGAACTAGCTGGGAACAGCCGTAGCGTTCCTGACACAGGTGTCACAGCACAGACTGAGGCGGGTCCCCAAGCAGAGGGCTCTGCTGCCACGTGAGCCCCATTATGTGCACGGACATGGAAGGAAAGCCAACCCGCACTGTGGAGAAAGCAGCTGACAAAACAGGGTACACCCTTTGGGATATTTGTGTGCAAAGAAGTAAACAAACAAAATATATATTTCGAGGGCACTTTCATGTGTCCGTGGTACTCTACATGTGTACATGCGGGGAAAGACCTGGGCAGAAAAACCATAAATGGTCATCGACAGTTATTTCTGGTGAACGAGAGGACTGGGCAGGAGGACTGTGGGAACTCATTCTAGTTTTTACATAAAGGTTGTCTTCCTGTCTTTATTCCTGCATGTGCCCGGCTGTGAGCAGAGTACAGCGTGGGCCCAAGGCGTGAGGATGTGTTCGCTGGGGGTGGGGTGGGGAGGGTGTGTCTGGGTCTGGAACCCCAGGCCCCCTCTGGAATGCCAGCCCCAATGCTGTTCTGATGATCCTCCTTCCACCCGCCCAGGCTCAGCTTCCTAGTCACACTCCTCGGCTCTCATAAATGGCAAGCTCCCCATTGCAGCTATCTGTTTTCTGCTGGCAGGATCAGCAGCGCGTTGGGCGGCCAGCAGCAGCTCCAGGCCTGATAAGGAAGGCTTCGCCAGCCTTCGTTGGAGGCCAGTGTCCTGATCAGCATGCTCTTTGCCTCCATGCATCTTCTGTGGAATCCTTCTGGGAGGGTTTTGCCTGGTACCCTAAGCTCATGGAATGCAAACACCAGAGGGCTGATGTCTGGGTATCCAGACAGATGAGGGTGAGGACATGCATTAACCACTTCTTGCTTGGTGAGAAGCTGGCACTGCCTTGAGAAGCCAGATAATGAGGACGGTGGTGAGCCTTTGATTGCAGGACATCGCATGCATGTCCACTGGTCCTTCCTCAGGCCTGGGAATCAGGACGCACAGGCTTGGAGTGATCCGCACAGAGCTAGAGTTGAAGTTTTCACTTTGATGAAAGACTAGAAGAAATAGTTTTCTGATGACCTAAGCTGAGAAGTGTGTAAGTGGGTTGAATGACATAGTCAGGGGCAGATACTAGATCGTATCTAAAAAGACAGAGTTTCATAAACAAAATTGATTTGGCCTCAAAAAACCCAAGTGCGTAGGTTCACGGCATATATGTCTGAATGATGGCAGGTGTGCAGAGAGGCCAGGGAACTGGCAGGATGATGTAAGGATTCGCGGGGTGAGTGAATCACCTGCAGACTCTATTCACAAAAGTGTAGAATGTGCAAGGAAGATGCAGGAACAGGTTCAGCAACACGGAGTCCCTCTCTGGGCAGCTCACTTTCTCAGAACTGGTTGGAAGAAGTAATTTCTAAGGAGTCCTGTTCTATTCAAAGAAAGAACTTTCTAACAGCAAAAGCTGTCCCAGGATAAAATGGGCTTCTTTGCATAAGGCTAAGCTCCCTGTCACTGGATGTGTGCAAGCAGCCTCGTGGCAGGGAGGCACCCCCACCCAGCCAGGACCCTGGGCAATTCTTGTCATCAGCTCTCCTGGCAGGGCACCAGCCAGACTCAGACATGCTGCATATCTGCCCAGTTAGTGAACTGATATAATAAATCTGAAGAGGTCAGGGAGGACCCAGGGTGCTCCTTGCAGGCCTGATGCGATGGCCCCGTGCGATCCCCACTCAAGGGGACGGGCGTGCATCACTTTCCTAGGGCTGCTGTGACAAGTCACCGTGAACGGAGAGGA